TTTATGGTTTATCCTGAGTTGCTTTCCTTGTTGACACGGCTTGCACATAGCATTCTCACTTTGATCAATCTTAGGTAAACAATCGACAATCTTCTTTTTGACCAATTTAGATAGACCTTTGTAGTTAACATGACCGAGTCTTTGATGCCAAAGTTCAGACTTATCAATTTTAGCACTATTGCATACATAGTTCGAGTTTGGAAGAACTCCATAACAGTTATCAGATGTTCTAACACCTTCAAGAACAACACCACCAGAAGCGTCATAAACAGTGCATCTCTTTTGGACAAAACTCACTTCATAGTCAGCATCACAGATTTGACTAATGCTCAATAAGTTGGACTTAAGGCCCTCTACATAAAGTACATTGGATATTGTAGGAAGTCCAGCAATGGTGATGGAGCCTTTACCTTGGATGGGTGCTGTAGCTCCGTTCCCAAAGGTAACTACACCGCCATTGCAGTCATTAAAGGTAGAGAATAAGGCCTTGTTACCACACATGTGTCTAGAACAAGCACTATCAAGATACCACATGCATGTATTATGTGTCTTATATGCAAAATGAGTAACAAAACATTTTAGATTCTCAGTATATTCACCCACATCAGATTTCTTTACCCAAACTTTTCTCGAGGTCGAGGTGATCTTAGTCAACCTTGTTACCATCTCAGTTAAGTGGCTAACCTGATTTGAAAGGAAGTTCATTTGACTAGGGATATCCTGACTTCGATTCCTATTTGCTAGTTTTCGACACCTAGGTCTCGTGTGGCCTAAGGCACCACAGTGATGACAAGTGGGTATGAACCTAGGTTCAGATGTACGTGAGTGTTGATTATGAAAATTAGGTGTAGAGATCTTATGAGCTCTAGTGGCCTTCAGTTTATTAAAATTTTTGTCTTTAGATTCTGGATTTGTTGAAACATTAGATCTGTTGGAAGCGAGGACGAATGTGATCTTTGATAAACTAGACACATTGCTATCACTCTTCTCAAATCCTAGACCTTGCCTATTTCCAGCTGGTTTGTTCATCCCTAACAGATCATCTAGTTTCTTAGTTCCACTCACAAATGATTGTAGTTGAGCGTTGGATTTCTCTAATTCACAGGTCAATGTCTTGACCCTGTCTTCTAATTTCTCATTGACACACTTCAACTCACTGAGATTCTTAGATGAGACTTGAAGATCATAGGTGATTTTCTCCTTCTCTCTCTCAAGCTCGTCTACCTTCTTAAATAGGGCTTTATTTACCTTTCTGATCTTGAGACTTTCCTTAAACAGAAGTTGATAAGTCTCATGTATATTCGTCTCATCCTCCGAATCATCACCAGACTTGTTACTCTTTCCTTCCTCCTCAACCTTCTCACTCTCCTTGTCTGACTCGCTCTTGACAATAGATACAAAAGCCATATAGCCCTTTTCCTCCTCACTGCTTGAAGAATCACTTTGCTCACTCAAATTAGAATCATTATCAGTCAAGAACACAGTTAATGCCTTCCTACTCCCCTTCTTTAAATTTTTCTTAAAGCTAGGACATTCATTTCTATAGTGCCCAAATCCTTGACACTCATGACACCTAACCCCTTGAGATTTCTTACCAGGGTTCCCAGCAATTGATTTATCATCATTCTCTCTTTGCAATTTACTAGAGGCTTCTCTCATTTTCTCTTGAGGCCATTTTTTGCCCTTTAAGGCTTTTTGGAATTTTTTCACAAAGTAGGCAATCTCCTCATCTCTAAGAGTTTCCATGTCAGATGACTCAGACTCCCCTTCCCTAACAGTGTTTAGGGCTATGGACTTGTTTTTCCTTGGTTGTGAAATGGTAAGTTCATAAGTTTGAAGGGATTCTACGAGTTTTTACATCTTAATTGTATCCAAATCCTTGCTTTCTTCAATAGCTGTAATTTTAGGTCTAAATCTCTTGGGCAAGGATCTAAGAACCTTCCTCACAATTTTGGGCTCGGGAATCCTCTCACCTAGGTTGAAACTAGAGTTAACAATGTCATTCAATTTGACATAGAACTCATCAAAAGATTCATCATCCTTCATCCTGATTTCTTCAAATCTTGAGGTTAGCATTTGCAATTTTGAATTTTTTACAGTTTTAGTTCCCTCATGCGTAGTCTCTAGAATGTCCCATACCTCTTTAATAGTTTCACACATTGATACTCCCCTAAATTCTTCGGGAAACACGGACATAAACAAGGCATGAAGTCCTTTGCTATTCCAATTGCAATCAGCTAATTCTTCCTTAGTCCAAAGTGAAATATCAATTAGATTGACAACATCTGACACAGTTGTAGAAGGAGGTTTCCAACCATTTTGTATGCTCATCTAAACACGTTCATCTAAGGACTTAAGAAAAACACGCATCCTAACCTTCCAGTAGGCATAGTTGCTTCCGTCAAAACACGGAGTCACAGACAGTGATTGACTCATCTAGACAACAATGGGTCAGGACTCGAGTTTTGGCTCTGATACTACTTGAAATAGTGTAGTTCGACCCAATCAACACCTAGAGAGGGGTGTATCTGTTTATGCAGAATTTTCTTTTTCAATCAATTAATAATTGCAACACGTCACAAAAATTAATTTGTCCAGATCAGCTCACATGCTTTACTATCCTATGTTTGAATACCTGTCATAAATTAATTGCAGAAAGATAAATAACACAATTGTTTGATGACAGAGAAACCCCAAGATGGATAAAACTCCGGGCCCAAGCCAGTAGGAATCCACTATAAACGTAAATGAAATTTACAATTAAATAGACTCAACCTACACTGATTTTTCTAACATCCTGACCATAGTTTCCTCAAGGCCTCCTGGAATGCTTGATCCTACACCAATTCCCGGCACCTAACCCTCCTAGATTGCATGCTACACCAATTCCCAAGTCTTGATTTTGTCTATCTCCCGTGGATTCAAGAGAATCGCCTGTTCTCTAATTATCGGGACTCCGATCTCCTTCCTCGATCTCCAAGAATCAACAAAGGCACAAGAAGATTGTGTTGTGGCATTTGGTGAATGTTGATTTGATATTTTTCATGGAATTGATCAAATCAAATATAGGGTTGAATGAGAAAGTTAAAGTGTAGGAGAGTTTTCTTCAATTTCAATACCTTGAAAGCACATTACCCAATCGGTGCACTTTTTCTCATGTATATGTATTTTGGTATTTCTGGTCGGGTTCCAATGTCGAAAAAAGGAAAATATGATTTTATGGGTAACACTGTCGCTTGAGCGACAATCGAGCGACGCTGTTTCGCTAGAGCGAAGTGGGGGCGAGAAGCGAGTGAAGACCATTCTGTTTTTGTCGCTCGAGCGACCACTTGGCAAGCAGCTAGCCAAACTTTAACAACACATCGTGCCCTACTTAATAGCTCAAACCCTAGCACACTTTGCCAAAATTGTAATTGAGTCCCTCATATTTTAAACATGTACACAATGACCCCTAACCTTTATTAACTGATAAATTTACCCCCAAATTTTGAGCATTTACAATTTTACCCTTTTGTTCATAGAATAGCCAACACAAAATCTAACACAATGAAAGGCAACCCCCTCAAGTTCAGCTCATTATCAACGTGGATCTATATTTCTACGCTGATTATAATAGAAAGAATGAAATGAGAAAGGGGAATAAGCACATGTCAAATATACTGGGAATATTGACTGTGGAAGCAGCTCCTGTCAACTGCACAGATCCTGAGAAGCTACCAGCAGTACCAGGGGTAGCAAGAGTTGTGTTAGGTACCGTAATGGTTTTGCAACTTTTGGAAGGCACTCCTACTTGCAATACATCGATCAAATTTCTCTTCGTGAATTCAAAACTAATTTTCAAATGACTATTAGATTGGCTATGAAGATTTCATGCTTCAATGGAACCAATTAAGAGAAAAATGGACTAAGAACTATCCAAACCCAGATGAATTGAGGTCATAATGCAGAAACACAATTAAACAAATAACTATGAAGGATTTGAGGCTGTTGGGTTGAATTGACTAGCAAGTAAATAAGCACATGAATGAATTGACTATAAAGTAAATAAATTACCCTTGCAACTCCTTGTCATCACTGGCTTCTCTATTGCTCGATCCTCAACACAGAAATCAATATAAAAAAATTCATAAGTTACTTAAAATAGTGTAGTTAATTTGGTAACAGTGAATAAAAACTTCGTAAGGTCAGGAACAAGCAAAACATTATTAAGAGGAAGAGTGGCATTTCTTTGGTGATATAAGCTAGCCTAGAGAACCAACCCCAACTACAAACAAGGTGGTTTACTACACGTCGACGTGAAGCCATCGACCCCCCAGGGGCGCCCTACCTTTATGTAAGGCCATCGACCCCCCGGGGGCGCCCTACCTTTATGCAAGGCCATCGACCCCCCGGGGGCGCTCTACCTTTACGCGAGACCATCGACCCTCCAGGGGTGCTCTACCTTTAAGCGAGACCATTGACCTCTTGGGGACGCTCTACCTCTATGCGAGGCCATCGATCTCTGCTCTACCTTTACGCGAGGCCATCGACCCCTTGAGGGCGCTCTACCTTTACGCTAGACCATCGACCCCCTGGGGGCGCTCTACCTCTATGCGAGGCCATCAACCTCCGCTCCACCTTTAAGCGAGGCCATCGACCCCCTCGGGGTTCTCTACCTTTACGTAAAACCATCTACCCCCGGAAGTGACCTATGTGGCCACCCCAACACTTAGTCAAAAATCTCAGGTAAATTAACAAAGCTCCATGGCGGTTATTATGGGCACAACCTCCAAGAAGGAAGTTAGAGGTCCCCTAGGAGAACATGGGGTAGTGGAGAAGCCAACATGGGACACGTGGTACCATGATTGTTCGACACTCACTCGACTTCCAGCATCTATAAATACCCTCGAAGGCGACACAGGTAAGGGGATTAACATTTTTAGCTATCTGAATTCCATCCTTATTTCTCCTAACACATATACTGATTCTTACGTCGGAGGTAAAATGGGGGAGAAAGCCCGACCCTCACTTTTCAAGTTATAGACGCTCGCCGGAGTAGCAGGAACGCCAACGACCACCAGGTATATTAAGAGGTATTATTCTACCATCATTTCATTGACGCCGTCTGTGGGAAGTTTTTTTCATTGAACACCAAAGCCATGTCAAGAAGATGAACAAGAAGTGACATGCGCTTGAGAGCAGCAATGACGGAGATGGAGTCGGAATCAGTCGCTAGGGGCCCTGACCCGCCACCATCGTCGCAGTATGTGAAACAAAAATAGTTTAGTGCCCTAGAGACCCAGCTAGTGGCTATGATGACCCTTTTGCAGAATCAAACGCAGGGAGCTGCTCTCCTGCTGCATTCGGTGGAAGCCGCATCGTTACCCCAAGAGGGGCACATAGAAACTCCGCCTGTCATCCAATCGATAGCTGCAGGCTCGAGGGCTCTAGAGGTTACAGTCCTATAGGCTAACCCACCCATGGAGGATTGGGAACGAAGGATGGAGGAGATCATGACGCAAAAAATAGATAATGTAATATCAAAGAGAAAGGATAAGTGTAGGCAGATGGTCTTAGAATAGGACCCATTCGCTCTTGAAATTATGGCGGTCCCCTTGCCTAGGGGCTTCAAGTAGCCTATGACAAAAGATTACGACGGGGTCATAGATGCACTTGACCATCTCCGGACCTTCGTTGATTTAATGAGGCTCTATGCAGCACCTGATGCAGTCATGTGTCGATCTTTCCCCCTGACCCTCAGGAGAGAAGTCAGAGATTGGGTGGCGACACTTGCCCCCGGATCTATGCGAACATTTGATGAACTTTCCAGGAGCTTTGTGGCCTACTTCCTCAATAGTAAAAGAAAGAAGAAGACGACCATCGGGCTGATGCAAGTGGTCCAGGAGAAGGACGAGTCTGCAAGAGTATTTGGCCAGATTCAGCCGAGCGACCCTTGGAATAGAGGATTTTCAAATGTTATTAGTGGTGACTGCGTTGATGAATGGAACTTGAAACTGGGCCTTCAAAATGTCACTTTCCAAGAACCCCTAGAGTCAATGTACGTCCTATTGAAAAGGGAGACAAGTATGTTGATGCTAAAGAAGTGGAGAAGGTCACAAACACCTCAGAAAGGGATGGAAAATGGAAAGTCACAAGCGAAAGGTGGGAGAGGAACTGAGATTTGCCAACAAAAATAAGCCAAAGAGTGAGCAGACGAATAAGGGAACCATCTAAGACCGACAAGTCAGGCAAAAATGGGAGGAGCCCAAGAGGTTCACCCCTTTAAACACCCCACGTGCGAAGCTATTGATGGAGATACAAGATATGAATGTGCTTGAATGGCCGGGGCCCATGGCAACGCCACCCGACAAGAGAAACCAAGGCAGATATTGTCATTTCCACAAGGATCACGGGCACGATACGAAAAAGTGCCTACAGCTAAAGGAGGAGATCGAGTGCCTCCTAAGAAGATGGCTCTTAGGCAAATATGTGAAGGAAAACCGGGGTAAACCAAAGGTGGAGGACTGCCCCCCGCCTAGGGTGGGAGTGATAAACTTGATTGTAGTGGGGATAGCAGGAGGCGGAGATTCAAACTCGGTAAGGAAAAGCTACGCGCGTTCTCTTAGGATTTGTTCCATCCAAAAGAAAGCAAGGTTTAGTCAGAACATCACTTTTGACGAGGAAGATTTGGTAGGCTTACACACCCCATGACGATGCCTTGGTGATAGTAGGCGATATAGTTGATTTCGACATCAAGAGGGTGCTGGTTGATAGGGGAAGTGCTATAAATGTACTTACATGGGATGCTTTTTTGGGCTTAAAGATCTTTCCTGACAACTTGAAAACAGTAACCACCCCCTTACAGGGCTTTGGAGGACCACTTGGTCGACGCCACGTCAAGTCATGAAAGATTTAGCTTCCTGGATGCATTTTTCGGGTACCATCAAATCTCTATGGCTGAGCTCGACCAGGAGAAGACATCATTTATCATAGACTCTAGGACATATTATTACACAGCCATGCCGTTCAGCCTAAAAAATATAGGAGTAACCTACCAAAGGATGGTGAATAGATATTTCAGGAGCTGATCGAAAATGTCATAGAAGCCTACGTCGATGACATGGTAGTGAAAAGTGTCAAAGCTATTGATCATGTGGCTTTTCTACAGAAAGTATTTGATGTGGCCCAACACAATGACTTGAAGTTCAACCCAGAGAAGTGTGTCTTCGGTGCTGCCGACGAAAAGTTCCTAGGCTTCATGATCACCCAAAGAGGATTTGAGGTAAACCCTGACAAGATACAGGCGATACTAGAAATGAAGAGCCCCACTAGTAAGAAAGAGGTTCAGCGGTTGACAGGGCGCGTGGTGGCCCTCAATTGATTCATGAGTCGGGCGTTGGATAAGTGCTACCACTTCTTTAAAGCTACAGGGGGCTCCACCAATTTTGAGTGGACTCAAGAGTGTGAAGAATCGCTGGAATCCTTAAAGAAGTCACTATAGCAGCCTCCTATTCTGACCAGACCATGCCTGGGTGATGTACTGTGTCTCTACCTAGCGGTATCACCACGGGTAGTTAGCGTCGTTCTTGTGAAGAACTCCCAAAGGCACAAAAATCGATCTACTACATCAATCATGTCCTCAAAGGCATAGAGACAAGGTACAATCTGGTCGAATAGTTGGTGCTCGCGTTGATTATTGCAATGAGGAAGCTTAGACCTTACTTTCAATCCCATACGGTGCAAGTAACGACTAACCAACCCATCAAGCAGATCCTATATTGACCGAAAACCTCCGGGAGGCTACAGAAATGGGCGATTGAACTAAGTAAGTTTGACATTAAATTTAGGCCCAGGACGGCCATTAAAGCACAGGCTCTAGCAGACTTCATTATCGAACTCACCATCCCGACAGAGCCCCCAGAAGGGTAGAAAGTAGATTGAAAAATCTTTGTAGACAGTTCCTCAAATGCAGAGGGATTAGGAACAAGAATCATAATGATCGGACCAGACTTCGAAGAATTGGAATACTTGCTACGCTTTGAGTTCCCTATTACCAATAACGACGTCGAGTATGAGGCAATCATCACAGGCTTGAGTTTGGCAGCAAGGCTAGGAGTGACTTCAGTGGAGGTATGCAGTGACTTACAGCTAATAGTAAGGTAGGTATCGGGAGAGTACGAAGTAAGGATAGGAGGATGGCAGCATACCTAATGAAAGTAAGGGATTTGCAAAGAGGGTTCACAAGCTTAAGATAACGAAGGTCTCACGAAGAGATAATGAGTGGCAGATGCACTAGCAAAGCTCGAATCGGCCAACCCAAAAAATTACCTCGGACAGGGAGTGTGCAAGTCTTACAACAACCCAGCATTCAGCGTTGGGCTGAGGTGAAGAATATTAAACATGAGGAAATTTGGATGGATCCAATAATCAAATATCTAGTAGAAGATAAGGTACCGGGAGACCCCCTAGAGGCGAGGAGATTGAAAGCTCGAGCAGCTTCATTTACCATCATCGATGGGAAGCTCTACAAGTGGGATTTTACCATGCCATATCTAAAATGCATACGCTCCACCGAAGCCAAAGAGGTACATGTCGGGACCTGTAATAACCACCAAGGGGCAACATCCCTTGCCTTCAAAATTCTGCGACAGGGCTACTATTGGTCAACTATGAAAGAGGATGCCAAAGAGTTGGTATGAAAATGTGACACATGCCAGCGTCATGAAAATTTGATCCATGTCCCAGCCGAACAACAGACAGCCATATTTGGGGTGTGCCCATTTTTTCAGTGGGGAATGGACATTCTAGGACCTCTGCCCATGGCCAAAGGGCAAAGGAAGTTTTTGCTTATCGCAATCAACTACTTCACTAAATGGGTGGAGGCGGAGCCACTGGTGACCATCACGACAAGAAAGATACAAGGCTTTGTATGGAAAAATATAATATGTCGGTTCAGAGTACCCAAGGTATTGGTGATGGATAACGACAGACAGTTTGATAATCATAGTTTCAAGACCTTTTGTGTAAGTTATCACATCGATCATAGACTGACCTAGATCGCCCACCCTCAATCGAACGGGAAGTCGTAGTGATAAATCGAGTCATTCTCTAGGATTTGAATACCAGATTAGAGAAAGATAAAGGGCTGTGGGCAGATGAGCTGCCTAATGTACTATGGGCATATTGCACGACTCCACGAGAAACGATCGGAGAAACACCATTTAAACTAACCTTTATGATGGAAGCAGTAGTCCCCGTTGAGATCCTAAACGACACTGGTAGAATGAAAGTCAAGCAGCCAGATGACATTGCGACTAGAGGGGAACTCGACCTGCTTGAAGAGGTGAGGGGAAGGCGGCAATCAAGATGATGGCCTATAAACAAATAGTCGCTAGGTATTTCAATCGAAGGATGAAACCAAGAATCTTTCAGCCAGGAGACCTTGTTTTAAGAGATGCAGCAGCAGCAGGACACCCCCGGCAAAACTTGGACCAAACTGGGAAGGCCCGTATAAAGTAATCCGCAGCCCGTGGATAGGAGCTTATAGCCTGAAAGACATGAGAGGAAGACCACTGGGTAGGCCATGGAACGCAGAGCATCTCAAAAGATATTACCAGTAGACTTCAAAATAGGTGCACAGGCTTATTCTTATAAATATAGTAGAATAGGTTGTGCTTTTAATTCCCTCCATGTAACGCCTCATAAAGGCGCCTTTAGTTACAATTACTTATCGTGTTTAATGAAAGACCTTGGTAGTGGCGGATGATAAAGGCGCTAAGGAAGGGCCAGTCTAGTTGGGACGTCCCGGTGCGCCTACTGAGCTAACGAATTCAAGTATTTTTTATGCTAACATACAATCTTGAATCTCCATGCTCATCCCGTGAGGACATACGATCGACATAGCCCACGATGCTAGGCGGAGAGTCTTGAAAAGCTAAAGAATTGGCTAAGGCCCTTAACCGCCAGACCACCTCCTGACAATCGACATAGGCCAAGCAGCTAGACGGAGAGCCTTGAAAAGCCAAAGAATTGGCTGAGGCCCTTAACCACCAGACCACCTCCTGACGGTCGCCATAGCCCACCCGGCTAGGCGAAGAGCCTTGAAAAGCCAAAGAATTGGCTAAGGCTCTTAACTGCCAGATCACCTCCTGACGGTCGACATAGCCCACTTGGCTAGGCGTAGAGCCTTGAAAAGCCAAAAAATTGGCTAAGGTCCTTAATCGCCAGACCACCTCCTAACGGTTAACATAGCCCACACGACTTAGCGAAGAGCCTTGAAAAGCCAAAAAATTAGCTAAGGCCCTTATCGCTAGACTCCTCTTCCAACAGCTAACTTAGCCTAAATGACTAGGTGGAAAGTATTAAATGGTCAGAATGTTGGCTAAGACCATCGACCATTATAATCAAGCCTAGCGCATGCGGGACGAATGACATTCACCCATGCTATCAAACGACTAAACGTGGAAGGCAACACTAGAAAAAACAAGTTAAAAGAACGATGTGTCCAACATTAATAACCGCTGATAACATAGCATTCATACAAAAAACATGTGATGTGCTCTTGTCCACACCCCGGATAAGTAGGGAATGATGCTACAAGTAAAAATAAAAAGCGACACAAAAAAGAGGGGAACTAACAAAAGATGCTGCTACTAAGCCATGCTTCAACTCTAAGGAGAAGCACCACCACTACCGCCCCACGACGAATGATCAAGTGACCTAGATGGCTACGCCCCACTCTCCTTTCCCTTGCGCTGCTTAAGGAGCTTATCAAAACCTGAGCAGTCAACAGAAGGGTGCTCCGTTAATAGCCACTCCTTGGTTAGTTTGATGGATGCCGCCATCGCCTTCCCCCCATATGAATGCAAGGCCATGACATAATCAGACGATGACTTGTACTACTCCACAGATGTCTCTGAGTGTCTGGTATACTCAGCAGAGGCCTTATACCTCTCGACCGCCTCCTCTGAAGCACGAGCCAACACAGACCGTAAATTGTCATTCTCTGTCTCCTGCTCGTGGGCTCGAGCCTCCGACGCCTCTAGAGATTTCTTCACGGAAGATATTTTCTTCTTGTAATGATGAGCATCTTTTTTCTTTTTCTCTGCAAGAGTTGAAGGTGACGACTCGATTTAGCAAGTCCGGTCTGAAGGGCCACCACCTAAAGAATGATGAGACAATGTGAGAGTCAAGTTGTAAAACCATTCTCAAAAATAAAACTCAGCGTAAAAGAGATATGGAATTAGAAACATACCCTCTGGAGATAAACTGCCGCAGCCCTCTAAATGTCGTCAGCATTGTGTCCTGCAATCACCCTGGCCTGAGCGGGTGTCACCAAAGATTTAAGGACCCCCATCTCATGATAGTCTCGGGTAGGAGGAAACTTGAAATTTGGAAGTGAATCCTCGTGCTTGCACTGTATACGGCTGGAAGCGCCTGGCCTAGGAGCAGGGATAACCTCAATAGGCTCATCCAAATGCTGGGGTCTCTTGGGCCTTCTGAGACCTTCCTCCCTGGATGGCTGTCTTCTTTCTTTTTAAAGAGATGGGAAATGGATCAACATCACTCATATGCCCCTGCTCGAGCATAGAATCCATGGTTCCCTCCAAATTAAACTTCATCCTTGCGCATGAAAAGTAAGGTCCATTAAGTTTACAAAAAGAAACATGAGAGTATAAAGCAAGAAAGAGGATCTTGAGAGCTTACCGTTAGTAGGAGCAAGGTCCTCGTCACCACCTAGTAGGGTCTTCAATACCTCGTCAAGGTCAAAATCCATATCTACATACATACGCCAAAACTCATTAGCCCAGAAAAACAACAAGCAAAAAATCGCAAAAACCAACGAAACCACCTAGCAGTAGGATGACTTATCCCCACTATTAACATGTTTTTCATGGTCAAAATCGA